TGTAAATTCTTGACTTTCCATAACATAATAAGAAACAAATCCATTATTGCTAATAATTTTAACATCAATTTTTCATACACGCCATTGTAAGGATAAATAAATAAAATTTAAAATCAAAATTTATTTTATTGCGGAAAAATTTGTCCTTCACAATGCAACTCTTTGAAAAACTTATGCGAATACATCTTTCTTAGCAATCTAATTCTAACTCTAAGTAGTAGCTCAAGAATCTAATCTTCGAGAGACGCAATCGAAATCCATTCCTTCATGGTTAGATTCTGCTCACTTCTTCCCTTAAGCTTCTTTTCTTTTCTTTGATCCTTCTAAACATCAAATGTAATCTTATCACATTATGTATTCAGAACCTAGAATGAAGCTTAAAAGAGTTAGTTAATGGATTTTACCTAAATTAGAGCCATACGTTTCGACTCTCCCATCTCTTAGATCTCTTAGGTAAATAGGGCAGCTTCGTATCCAATGCCCCTTCTCTTGGCAATAAAGCAAATTGACTCCTTTTGGAACAACACATGGAACTACTTCAGACATCGCCTTTCTCTTATGATCAAACTTTTCGATCATTGCATGTCTTTCATTGCCATTGTCTATATCCACAGAGGTGTCGAAGGCAGATTCACCAATCAACTTTGCTTTTCTATTGCGCCAAACCATTGCTGATTCAGCAGCAATAAGCATATAGGTGAGATCTATAAGGGTCACGTCGCGGTTCATCATATAGTACTCTCTTACGAACTCACTATATGAGTTAGGAAGTGATTGAAGAACCCAATCAACAGCCATCTCTTCACCGACAATGGATCCTATCATTCTTAGTCTATCAATGTGCGACTTCATCCCTAGGACGTGTGCACACACCGACTTTCCTTCTTTATGTTTACTTGCCAAAAGGGCTTGAGTGATATTGAACTTTTCAATTTTACAATCTTGTGGGTTAGGGAGAATAATTGGAGGAGGAGGAGGAAGTGAAGCATGATTTCTTGTTCCTCGATCGAATCGTGGAATATCATCTTCATGTGGAATGCTTGTTCCACGGGATTTGAGAAGACCATAGTTGTCGAACTTTGACATCGGGAGAAAAACGAATTCAAGTTAGTTGATTGATTGAGTCCTTGGTAAATCACCCAAATGAAATTCCAAGGCTAGGACCCAACACAATATCCTACAACTCGGGAGAGGGATGCCGTAACCCAAATGCAGAACATTTGAAGGTAAGTGAATGACGATTCACTAATTTCCACCATGAAAAACGAAAAAGAAATTTAAGTTTTAAATTTATGAAAACTCCTAGATCCTTTGAGATTCATTGAACATTTCAATGGCATGTTTAAATCTCGATATGCCCCTCTTGTTTGTGACTGGGATGCCGAGGATCACAAAGCGGGTGTGAATAACCATGCAAACTACATGGTGCCCTCACATGTTACAATCACCTATTCGATGTGCCGGTAAACCACACACGCTCCACCGAACTATGATAAACATTGAGTCACCCTTTGCTACCTTTGCTTAGAACCATTTAGTGTGCCGGTAAACCACACACGCTCCACTAACGTCTTCGCAAGGGCACAAAGTGTAATTTCATGGAATTGCATCAATTCACTTTTGCCTAAGTAACTAAGATTGGGAATTTGCGAAAAACATTTAGTTACTTTGTATTTCATTATACTTATAATGGAAGGTTTCGTCCTGTCCTACCCGTTCGGCTAACGACCCTCCACTAGTCAAGAGTGCGGTGGGTAAGAGTGGATACCCATTCAATCGCCATCTTATAGGCAATTTCCTTAAACACCCCTTATAGACCAGCTTCGTGAATGAGGCCTACTAACGGTAAGACTGACTTTTACTCATACATGTATATAATGTTAGACTTTCAATGTTATATATAGTATAGGGTGTATTTCATACTTTTGAAATACTATATGGTTAACTTTAACAATTACACTTTTAATTCAATTAAATGGTTAACCTAAACTTTTATGGATTTATTAAACCTCTTTTAATTATACTCCTTAATTATTTAATAAAACCATAAGGGTGTGATTTGAACTTTTTCAAAACATTACTAGAGTTTTAGAATTTAACATTTCTAATTAAACCTTTTAATCAACTTTTAAATTCCAAAACTTGAGGGCAAGTTTTGAAACCTTTTTCAAAACATTAGGGTTTTAACTATTTAAATTTCAAAACAACAAAACTTTTTGGGTTCAAATTTAAACTATAAAACTTAAAGGGCAAAATATGAAACTTTTCATAACAACAAAAATCAAATAACAAATAATTCAAATTAACATTTAATCACATAATTATCCATATTTGATTTGTTTAATGATTTCTTGCAAAACAATTTACCAATTAAGTCAAAATAATTAAACAATTATCACATAAGGGAACAATTATCTTATTAATTGATAGATATCTTCTATTAGATCAAAATATAGTCATATATATCATAAAATCGGATTTATATTGATCTAACATGATAAGGTAACTATCCTAATCCAAAAACAGCAAGAAATCCCGAGATAATCATAATCTGACGAGTTGACTCGTCGAGTCAGCCTTGGACTCGTCGAGTCTGCATGGACTCGGCGAGTTCAGCCATGGACTCGGCGAGTCCAGCCTCCAGAATCCAAAAAATCGAATTTTCCAGTTATATCAAGCATCAATACAATTGAAACCAATCTAGGCTCTGATACCACTGTTGGGTTTTTGGTCATAAGACATCCTATGTGCTCATACAAACCCTAATGCTTGGATCTAGGTTTCTCTATTGTACATGCTTTGAATCCAAGACTATAAACCCTAATTCTAGCATACATATAATCATATTAACATGAGAATAAGTTTATAGTGTTACCTTGATTGTTATGTAGCAATAACAATCCCAAATCTCCTTGTATTGACTTTGGAAGGCTTAGAGTCACAAGTGTCACTCCTCTAATGGCTCACAAACACCATAAGCAAGTGGAGAAGGTACAAGGAGAGAGGTGAGAGGTTAGAATTCGTATCTAGGACCTCTTGGGAAGGGATACACGAATTCATGGCCCTAGGGGTGTTTATATAGGTGTAGAGATAAGGTTTCAGTCATTATCCTTATCTAGTTGATTATCCATTAAGCAACCAATAAGATAATCCTTGAATCCTTATCATACTCGAATTCTAAGGGATTTACACCTCAAATTCGTTCACCATATATATAAGGTAATCCTTACCTTATTTTGTAACTATCACATAATTACAATTCAGCCCCTCTAGTTTAATTAATTACATTTGATCACAAAACTAATTCTTAATTAATTATTGACCAATATTAATTAAACAAATATGATTTCTCCTTTAATATATTATTCTTATAACATATTAATAAATCATATTATCCTCTCTCTCTTTATTCATTTCTCCAATCAAGTTGCTTTGGTGAAGGCAACCCAAAAGGACCATGCACCATCGGGTCAAGTACATACCAAAATAGTTATGGACTTAGACACTAATCCAACAAAAACCAAATGCGAACTCAATTGTTGTCATATGCGAACTGATTTCATAGATGCGAACACAATTGATTTCATATGCGAATCCACATCCATCGATATGAAACCAATACCAGTTACAAGCAATTAGTAGCAACCATCGATCCTCTAATTTTCAATTACTCAGCCTTCGCTTTTCATACAACCCGTCGACCCTGAAAAATCGATAAACACCAAATGTCTCATTTTTAGATCGATTTTCTGATTAAATGTCATATTTGAAGAATGATCGATTTTCTGATTAAATGACCCCATTTTGCGAAGTTGGACCACTTATATTATTTCTTGAAAAGATCAGGTGCCAAATGCGAAACTCTAAGCTTTCTTCCCCAATTCGCATTTATACATTAAAAACTTCGCATTTTCATTCAAATTCTTCGCATCTTGCATCCATCCGTCTTTGAGTTCATTCGCATTTCATCGCATTAACTGAGAAATTAATCAGTTGTCTCATATTCGCATTTCAGTTGTTCCAAGAATGTCACTGACCCCTTCGGATAAAAGGATTCCTTTCACATTTCAGCGAAGACAGTTTCCACTTGCTGTATGCTTTGCGATGACAATAAACAAAAGTCAAGGACAGTCGCTATCAAAGGTTGGTTTGTTTTTAAGACAACCAGTGTTTACTCATGGACAGTTGTATGTTGCATTGTCTAGAGTTAAAAGCAAAGATGGATTGAAAATATTAATTTTAGACAACGAAGGAAACCCTACCAATAAGACATCTAATGTTGTATTCAAAGAAGTATTTGGAAATTTGTGATTTGTAAAAATTATTTAATTAGAACATTTCATTAATGATTTCTTTTTGGTATTTTGAGTTCAATTACACACTTATTCAATAAACTTTTCACTTATATGTGTTGTATTATTTTAATAATTCGTTGATGTTCGAAATTTTATATTATTTTTTTCAAGAAACCCGTGTAACACACGGGTATTACACCTAGTTTTCTATAAATAAGGATATTATAAATGATGTTAAATACAATATCAATAAAAATACAAAAAGAACCAATGATACGTAACTAAGATGTCGTTTTTGGTAATGTTACGCAAATAAGCCAAATTTACTAAACACTAAAAAACGATATATCAACTTATTAGATTAAGCTAATTCAAAAAAAAATTTAAAAATTTCCTTTCACAATGGATAAGCTAATAAGAACTTTTACTAAGAAAAAAAAAAAAACATTGTTTTTTAAATAAGCAAATTCCAAACACCCCTTTAATGTTTGAATAAATGAGCATATTTTCCGATTCCTCAAATTCAAATGTATTTCTAGAAAAAACAAAGTATGTTGTAGTTGTGTTGGTAATCAGCAAATTATCTATTTATGTTGTACTTGTATTGTTTATCATGCATGCAAGTATTCACTTAATCGTCCAATGATCAAATCATATACCATCAATTAATTCTGTTGTTAGCTATCAACTTAAATGTAATAGTGGCTGTAAAATCCAAAACAAATCTAACAACAAAACATACAAATTCAAAACGTGAATTGTCTAAGAGCATTAACAAACAAAAACATAAAAGCCAAAACAAATTTTAACAAAACTTTAAAAATCGCCACCAATTACGAACTCTTTGCAACACCCGCATTTTAGGGTAAAGCCTACATATCTGGGGATTGAAAAGATAGGTTGTGTTATAGGTAGTCGAGAGAATATCCCACCAAATAGGAAACTGGAAAACGCCGAATATCATCACAGGTGAGCAGGCACCAAGACCAAGACTGATAGGAACCCACGTCAAACCTTCGCGATAAAGAACTATGCAACAGGCAGCATAGGCAGCCATCAGACACAGGAATGAAAAGAAAAGTGATATGAGACCACCGATAATTTTTGTAGGGAGCAGATGCACGTAGTCTTTCAGACGAGAGCGGGATGTGATTATTGAAAGAAAGACCAGAAAAGAGCATGATGAACTTAGTAAAGAAAAGCCATTCGTTATAAGGAATACTAAAAAGAAAGGCTCCGCCATAAAGATCGGGAAGCCATTATCCTGCCGATAACCACCCGGGGGGGTTAATACTGCTGCAAATGAGATCGTGACAATAAGGGCGGTTGCAACCATTCCATGTTTTACCCAACCAAGAGCTCCTGATGCTAAATCTTTGGTGTTTTCCTGGAACAACTCCTGAGCTGTTTTACCATGAGTGTTCCTAACACCCCTTAGACTGGGTGACAACATCCTCTCTACTTCCTGCATGCGTTATATATAACAAAACTCATATATCACTTATATATTTATATTATGCACGGATATAATCGTATAAAAAGTCTTATTACAAAATCAAACATACCTGGAACCAAAGATATTCTTTTTGGAGCAACAAAAATGATCGGGTGGTGCTTTCCAGTTCGACCCTTTTTGATGTCATTCCGACCAGGTGGAGTAGAGTATTACCATTCTTGTCAACCTCAAATAGTCCAAACCTTTTGGACCCGACTTCATAAAACAAAGCATTGTACAGGTCCAGTTGTCGATGCATTACTACCACGTGGAAGATGGTGTGTCCATCTTCATTTCTCTTTGTCAGTACCTCTGGGTAGATCTGGATAATCTGCAATAAAAACTCAGTGTTCCCATTCCTAGCCGCTTCAAAAATGCAATTGTATGCGGGTAGATTATTAGGTCCCCGAAGTAATGAATCAACCTCCGTCCTATAAAATGAATTAGTAGCCCCTAGAGCGCTTGTCAGTATGCTAGAGGCATTTTTAGCCTCTTCTTCAGATTCATTTGACCCCATGATATTTGTTTTTTGTAAAACTGTAATAATAAAAAATAAAAAAAAATGGATTTAGAAACCAACACCAATACATCCAATTTAATTGTTCGTGTTAATCTCATACCTTATATTTTGTATTATTTTCAAGATTAAAACTCATCTTTAATTTATTTTATGAAAAATACCTTATATTTTTTCATTTTTTTCTTTTAAAAACCTTCAATTTTTTTTTCTGAAAAAAAAACCCTCAACCTTCTAATATTTGCAAATAAATCCTCAACTTTTTTTGAGTTTTTCCTTAATTAAAAAATTAAAAAAAAATCTCACATTTTACAACTTCTTTTTGGAGAAAAATAACTAAAATGGCCATATAATAAAAAATGAAAAAATGCAAGGATTTTTCCATGAAAATAAATAAATTGAGGTTTAATCTGGAAAAAAAAGATCTTTTATGAGATTAACCCTAGAGTTATTAGAAGTATTAGATAATTTTTATAATAAACGAAAATCTACTATAAAGTCCCTACATTTTGATCTTATTTTTGACCTCATATTCAATTAAATCCTTATATTTTTTTTTTTCCCATTAAGTATCGAATACCGATAATTGTATTCACTTTAACCATTTTTCCCGGTTTAAAGGTCATCCCATTTTGAAAATTTATACTTTTGGCCGAAATCTTAAACTTTATTACAAATTTGATCTAAAATTTACATTTTTGGCCTGAATTTCAAAATTTTGTTACAAATTCATCCTAAATTTAGTGTTTTTTACATATATTTTTTTCAGAATTTTGTTTCATATATGTTATTTTTGCTTTATAAATCAAATTTATACAAAAAAAAAAACATATTTTCACATAAAAACCTTTATTTTTAAAAAAACATTTTTTCAAATAAAAAAAACATATGTTCACATAAAGAACCGAGATATTTACAAAAATAACTTTTGACTTGTTGTTCGTTTTCGAATTATATAGATTTTTTATTTAGTTATTAATTTACAAATATTAATTAGTAAAATACATACCATACGACCATCCATTTGTTAATAATAAATATGTTTTATATTTTTTAGTTTTTAAGCAAAATCTAGTAAACATAATCAACTTCAAAGTTTTCTCTTGTTATTCAACCAAAGTTTTCTATTTTGTTTTTTAATATTGTAATATAAACCAGCAAACAAAAGTAAAAAATTATAAAACAAAAACTAATAATATTAATGACAATAAATATAATGATGGTAATAAAATAGTATGCGATCATTGTTTCTTGCTTATGTTTTTTGTAATATTTTAACATTTTTCAAATATAAAAACCTTTTTTTAGCAAAAATGTTTTAAAAAAAGGTTTTATATAGAAAAAAAAGGTTTTTTTATGTGAAAATATGTTTTTTTGTATAAATATGATTTTATAAAGCAAAAATAACAAGATCAAAACAAAATTTTGAATAAAATAAATTTAGGATGAATATATATATATATATATATATATATATATATATATATATATATATATATATATATATATATATATATATATATAAAATAAATTTAGGATGAATTTATAACAAAATTTTGAAATTTGAGTTAAAAGTGTAAATTTTAGACCAAATTTTTAATAAAGTTTAAAATCTAGGCCAAAATATAAATTTTGAAAGTGAATGATAACAAGAAAAAAATGATTAAAATGAATACAATTACCAGTATTAATGACTTAATCAGAAAAAAATACATACTTAATTGAATATGATGTCAAAATATAATGACTTTATAGGAGATTTTCTTATAAAAAATAAATAGTTATGTAAATCAAATGAGGGAAAATTTGGTCATTGTGAACTCTTCAATGTCCTTATAAACTTTTTTAATATTACGTGTATATCGTAAAAGTATGAGTAAATTACACGAATGGTCCCTATGGTTTAGGGTAATTTGCGTGTTTGGTCCCTAACTTATTTTTTTAACTCGGAAGGTCCCTACTGTTTGTTTTTGTTACGCGGTTGGTCCCTATCTTACCTAAAAAGACTATTATACCCTTGATTTTTTTAATTTATCTAAATAAACACACCCCTAATCCTACCCCCTCACCTTACCTCACCTACCCCATCATTTTTTTCTCTTTAAATAATAGTCTTTTTAGATAAGACAGGGACCAAACGTGTAACAAAAATAAACATTAGGGACCAAACGTGTAACAAAAACAAACCATAGGGACCTTCCGAGTTAAAAAAATAAGTTAGGGACCAAGCATGCAAATTACCTCAAACCATAGGGACCATTCGTGTAATTTACTCTAAAAGTATATAATTTTGAATATTAGATAAAAAAAAAATTAATATAATTCTAATTAAAATATGATTTTGGATATAATTGTAATTTTTAAAGTTTTAGATGGACATACATGCAATATTAAAGTTTATAAGGATATTGAAGTTTAGTATTTACAACGACATAAATGAAGTTTTCCCTAAATTAAATGACAGTTATTATATCTATTAAAAGAGAAATTAAATATTCTCCTATTTATTCTTTCTATCCATCTTGCTATCACTTTTAGATCATTACAATTGTAATAAAAAAATTTAATTTGATAAGTGCCACAATCTTAAATGTATAAGAAGATGGTAGGTCTACAAAATAAAAAAATGAATAGGAATATACTTACTCCATCTTAAGCGACTCAAAATCATATTCTTTTCCTTCCGGTTGAGGGCGTCCGTCTTTCCAGCCAAAGCACGGAAGATATCTCCACAAACAACAGGATGTAACCAATCATGGTTTGCATCCATAATGGTTCTAGCCATGCCTACAAATAGAGTTTAATAATCAAAATCAACAAAAATTACATTACAAAGCAAAATGATATCCAAATTAAATTTAATGTAAGACTTACCAAACATTTCATTTTCTACGCAGCCTATGAGAATGTTATTTCGAATGTTTGGTGTCCACACTGCACCGCTCATACCGAGAGATGTTAGATAGAGAAATCGCGTCATTTCCCGATTTCCACACTCAACACTTCGTGTTATTGGATAAATGCCAGGAACTTTAGGAATAGTCAGCAATGCTTGGCATCTTTCTAACATTGATCTTGCGATTTCTTTGCTTCCATGTGACGCAGCTATGTACAAAGCTGTCTCTCCTTCTGTGTTTACTAATTTGAAGTCTTCGTATGTCATCCGGCGTACTAAGCGGCTCACAAACTCTTCAATATCTTTGTTAACAACTGACGAAGCCGAAACCATTAAAGGAGTCTCAAGACTAGCTGTAATAGCTAGTCCCACTGCTTCTGGGTTTTGTGCCAAGATGGGCTCAGCAATGCTCCAGTCACCGAGGACACACGCCTTGTATAAGGGAACCGCGATTGCATAATAGTTGGCTCTGTTAACTTCGAGTAGAGTAGGTGCGGGATGATTCATTGTTTATGAGATGCCTGTATACAAAATCAAATGTTATAAAAACAACACAGAAACGATAATTTAAAAACAAGTTTCTAGTTTCCTTTAGTTCAATGTCAACTAGTTTGCAGGTTAATGAGGTTTGATACATTTGACCCACAAACAGAAATCTAATCAAATTGTAAACCACATGCATAACATAGGAGATCATACCACATTTGACGCAGTCTCCCCTTGAACAAACACACTAAAATTAAACCTACCTATAAAAGAGTCCAGATCATATAGAGTACCTAGCCATCCCTCGTTGGCAGTATTATTGTAAAGTGCTATAAGAAACAATAAACAAAATAAAGTTGAAAAAAAGATAAAAGGCGATGTATATTGCATAATTTAACTAATAACTGTCTACATACACAAACAAGCCCTTTCAAGACATATGTACATATTTGTTATTCTTATTACTTAGGACAATGATAGGAGTGAAAATTGTTTTATATTTAAATGGCATTGCTATAACCACATATTTTTAATATACAATTTTGTAAAAAGAAGAAATGAAAGTATGTGCTATAATAAAAAAAAAATGGAAGTGGATGTTTCTTTATATAACCCTTTTTTTTTTTTAGGGAGAATTGATATTTCCACTTATCTATTAGATGTTCACTTAAAATAAAATTGTTTTTACGTTTTTGCCCTTATTTTGAAATTTACAAAATATGATGAGATATAATTAATCCGCCTCTTATCCTTAGCAAATTTAAGCGTTTCCACTTATCAATTATATATCCTTATTAAACATCAAAATACGTATTTACCCAACTTAAAATTTAAATATCATATTTATCCTTATTAATTTCTAAAATATCATATTTATCCAAATTCTTTTTTTAAATATTGTTTAAAAACTTTTAATTAGTTTTCACATTTTATAATCATTTTAATTTATAAAAATAACTCAATGGACCAACTTGCCCTTCAATATTAAAGTCCCTTTGCAATGACTTGGATTGACAAAATTACTCCCTAATCGCTTTACTCTTCTTGAATCGTGGATATGACATGTTGCTAAAACAACCAATTGTATAAATAAAATGTGTGATGATGTCATTCACACCCTCAAAGATTCACTTGTGTTCTTGATTTTTTAATGGAATACAACCACTATAATTTTGAAGAAAATATCAAATGACACAAAAATGAGTTATGTAGTCAATTTTATTGATTTTTAGCAATTTACATCTATGTGATTAAAGAAGGTTAAGAGCAACGTGGTCAATCCAATTTAGTCAAAAAGGGTTTTCGATATTTAAGTGTAATTTCGTAAACTTGATTTTCTTTTATTAATTAAAGTGATTATATAATATGAAATATGATTATAAGATTTAAAAAGAAGTTTAAAAAAAGAAATTGGGTAAATACAATGTTTTTAAAATTAAGAAGTGTAAATATGATGTATAGATTATATACTAAGTAAATAAAATATGATATTTCAACACTTAAAAGTCTCAAAACTTCAATTAAATTTTTTGTTAATTTCCAAAACAGCTAAATATATTTATGCATTATAATTCTATTTTAAACATATAAAGTAGTCAAAATCCGTTGGTCAAAAACTCGAAATTGTATACCTAGACCTAGCCACTGAAACCAACGGGTTGATGCATGATCAAGACTTCACAGATTTTAACCAAATTTGATAAAAATATCCCCTAAATTTGATAAATGATCAACGAAATCTGAATTGAATCAACACAGATATCCCCTGTAACAGTGGATACATAATGACTTCAATACCAATAGAACTAAAAACGAAATATAATACCTCAAGGGTAATAGCAAATGTCAGATGAGCAAGAGGACTAATGAGAGGAGCAAGCAGCAAAACAATTCAACTATCTCGATTTCACTGCAAATCAACATTAATGGAAATGGATCAACTCACTGATCCCTCTGTTACACTTAAACATGAAAGCTAACACCAATAAATAAATAAATAAAACCGGAAATGGAATGAGTACCTAAAGGCTGAGAGGATTGAAGATGAATAAGAACACGATGCAGCAGGGAGAAGAAGATGAAACACAGAAACAATTCAGGTGTGAAGACAAACTCTCGATTTCACTGCAAATCAACATTAATTGAAATAGATCAACTCACATATCCCTCTATTACACTTAAACATGAAAGCTGACATCCATAAATGAATAAAAAACCAGAAATGGAGTGAGTACCTGAAGGCTGAGTGGATTGAAGATGAAGAAGAACGTGATGAACCAGGGAGAAGACGATGAAACGCTTGGACAATTCAGGTGTGAAGATATCTCTCGATCTCACTGCAAATCAACATTGATTGAAATGGATCAATTCACAGATCCCTATATTACACTCAAACACCAAGCTGACACCGATAAATAAACCGGAAATGGAGTGAATACCTGAAGGCTGATAGAGTGAAGAACAACATGATCCAGGGAGAAAGAAGATGAAATGCAGAGACAATTCAGGTGTGAAGATAAACTCTCGATTCTGCATATCAACATATAAGATCCCCTCTATTACACTCGAAACATGATAGAAGCAAACATCGATAAAAAAAAACGGAGATGGAGTGAATAATTCACCTGAAGGATGAGTAGATGAGTGAGACGAACAAAGAGATGATGAAGCAGGGAGAAGATCAGAAGAAGACGACGAAATGGAGACACGATTTTTGGGTGTGGGAGTGTGCTCTACTGGAATAACTGACATAGGCGGGAGAAAGGAGGTATGTTACCCAAATAAAAAAAATTAAAAAAAAATAAAAAATAAAAAACGATATTATATTTGTTAAAGGTCAAAATAATATAAAAAATCATATTGAATGGAATAGTGCTCGTAATTCACTTTATAATTGCAAATTGTTTACCAACAAACTTTATCTCTTATGGTCGTGAACTTGTTTTGTGGCTTTGAACAATTTGGTTCGTTCTTGTTTTTCTTATTTTATTTTTAAACATATAAATGCTAAAGTCCCACTTTATGGTTATCACAACATATCATTTAAAGGATATACATTGAGTTTTTATTCGTTGTGATAGTAGTTAATTATGGTGATGGATTGTGATTTTATGTTCCACATCAACCGCAAAGTATCTCAAAAACTTTAAGTAGCACTGCTCCTGATTCCTTAAAAACATGTATGTATTAGATCTTTTGTATTCGGATGCACATTTATGCCATACTTAATGCCGAAGATGATTGTGTTTATCTACTTTTGTTTCCATGAAAAAGAATAAACAGCAAATGATGAGTACATGCAATGCACATAATCAAATTTTCAAGTTTATTCAATCCCAAAACGGAGAGAAATATCTTCTTTACATCTCCTTTTATATTAATACTTAGTTTTGTTCCATTATATGCTCTTAAAGGTTTGTCAAATTCTATATGTAATCGTCTTGATGCAAATTAGATATGAGATGATTGTTTTGAACCCTTTTTATCGATAGAAGATGATTAGTTGCTTACTAATAGTTCTTGCAATACAAATTAATCAATTCCCGTTAAAACAATTAAAATAATTCAAAATTCATTTCAACAAATAAATCTGAAGTGTAAACGAAATTTAAAAAATTCAATTCATTTTACAAATCACTCTCCACAAACACAACGAAAAAAGAACTTCTACTGGTAATTGAAACTCACAAAAAACCACTTAAATACGTCTATAACTTTTATAACTGATCTGCAGAGGTGTACACTGATCATTAGAGATGTACACTGATCCATAGAGGTGTACTGTGTACACTGATCCACAAAGGTATACACTGATCCTTAGAGGTGTATACCGATCTGTAGAGGTGTACACCGATCCGTAGAGGTGTACACCGATCCGTAGAGGTGTACAATGATCTGCAGAAAACAGTTCTTACGTGGCTAAGCGATGTGTCAAAAACCCTTTACCTGGACTTCCAACGTGGCACCTGACGTGTTATATTCCCAATTATGCTATTAATTAAAACCCCGATTTGGACCTCATTCATTTCTTTCTTACCCCTTCGTGAAAAGTCGAATCAAGCACCCTCCTTTATATAATCAGCTTGTTCGATTCTTCAACACAATGTCTGCGACCTCGTCCAATGCAAGAAATCGCCTTCAAGTTGCTCGTCTGTTAATTTGTTAAAGATGATGTTAACAACTGTGACTGCGATGTTCCAGCTAAGGAACGGACATGTTGGAAGCTCACTAACCCCGACAGATGTTTTTGGAACTGTAACAACTGCTTGGTAAGCTTCGATCTAGTTTGATTTGTTAATGAAAGATTTTTTAGGGCTTTACTATCAAAAACCCATTATATTACAAAAAAAACCCTAAAAGTAATTTTGATTATCTTAGGTTGTTGTCATGATTTCGTTTCTAAAAATACATGTACGATCGCGGTTGTTTAAAATACATCTTGGGTGATTAGTGATTGTGTTTTGATGTTTTATTCATGTGGGTTTGATACAGACAAGATTGAGGAAATGTGATTACTTTGAATGGAAAGATGTTGCACTGGAAGATGGTTACTACAAAAACCTCATCTATTCCATGAAGCAACAGTTGGATTCCAAAGAGGATCTTGGTGTCATAAAAAACTTGAGGACTAAGAATGGTGAGTTGGAGTTTCTCCTGAGTAAGGAGAAGAGTCTAGTGGCAAGCATGGAGAAGGGGATGTGTGATTCCAAGAAGAGCATACGTATGTACAAGCTGTTGGTAGTTGTTCTAGTTGTTAGGTATCTCATGTTTGTTTTGTTTTAATTGGTGTAGCTGAATGTATTGGATGTAAAGGTTTTTTTGTATCTTTTGTAAAGTCAGCCTAAAGTGGTAATATGTTGCATTTTGTATTTTTTGTAAAATCCCAATGACAATTGGTAATTAGGGACGACTAGTTTACTATTCCAAATAATATAATCAAAACATAAAAAAAAAATATTCTTAAAACAATAATCATAATACAATCCAAGTCTACTATTCCAAATAACACAATCAACGTCTACTATTCAAAATAATTATGCCATCCTATTACGGTAACTAAATCTCGTATCTCTAGGTGACTGACTTGTCTCCACTGGTACATCCAATGCAAGCATTTCCATGAACATGCACACAAGAACTCCACAATCTCCTCTTTCTCATTCTTCTACTTTTTCCTGCTGCGGCACATGCTTAGCTTTAACGAATTCCACCTTAGTAGGTTTCTGTCTATTTGGAAAATGGGCCCAATATGATATGTGGTCTAGTTCACTTAATATACTATCTCCCAACGATTTGAAACTACCGTCACCCGCATATTTTTTAAAGAAACCACACCATTGAGCTGAATCATATATGCTCACTTCCATGTAAGGAGATCCAAATCAATCAAATACCAATACAGGTGTGGTATGTTGACGGGAATTTGTTAAAATTAATAATATTTATATTGTGTCAAACTAACATTTTGAAGTTAAGGGTGTATATTGTTTAGTTGTTTGTTTTGAAGGGTGCATGTTGTAAATTGTTGTTTCTCGGGTGGGTTTGTATGCGGATCTCTTCATGTATTCTTGACCCGACTATATATTGAGTTATCTCCTGTTGCAGCTTCATTATCGGGTAGATATTTCACAGAGCTTATTTTCTCTCTTGTACACACAGTTCTTAATAGTTAGGGTTTTCTGTATTGGTCATTCTTGTTGATGTTCTTTCAGAAATATTTGTAGATTAGGATGTGTGATTCGTTGTGAGAGTAGTGTAGGCTTACAGTAGAATGCGAATTGGGGAAGAAAGCTAAGAATTTCGCATTTTTATTATACAAATTGATTGATTGATTGATTTGTCTTAATTGTTAATTGCGATATATGAAATACTTATCAAGTTAGGGGCAATATGGTCATTTTGAAGTAAAAGAAGCCTTGGTTATTAGATGAATCATACGAAGGATCTGTTATTTGATTTTGGAATTGGGGCGAATAATCGAACGATTTGGAGTTGCGAATTTGATTTTGAAAAGCCAATCAGTTGGGTTCGCATATGAAAACAGATAAGTTTTGATTTTGGATTCGCAATTGGGTTAATTGGGTTATTGATTGAGGGACGATTCGTGAGGAAAAATGCGAAGTCAAGAAGGACTGTGAAATGTGATTTGTTCAATATTGGAGTCAAATGCAGTTCACGTGTAAAAGCAAAAATGTTCGCATTTGGTAATACAAATCAAAATTGGGTTTCGCATATGAGGTTGTATGGATTGGGGTTAAAGATGCGAAGGTGATTATGGTTAATATTAATTTCGCATTTGGTGAGACAAACAACTCAAATGCGAATGAACTAAAAAAAATGACTGGAACATGCGAAGAAAGAGGGTGAATGAAGAATGTGAATTTTACAGTAGAATGCGAATTGGGGAAGAAAGCTAAGAATTTCGCATTTTTATTATACAAATTGATTGATTGATTGATTTGTCTTAATTGTTAATTGCGATATATGAAATACTTATCAAGTTAGGGGCAATATGGTCATTTTGAAGTAAAAGAAGCCTTGGTTATTAAATGAATCATACGAAGGATCTGTTATTTGATTTTGGAATTGGGGCGAATAATCGAACGATTTGGAGTTGCGAATTTGATTTTGAAAAGCCAATCAGTTGGGTTCGCATATGAAAACAGATAAGTTTTGATTTTGGATTCGCAATTGGGTTAATTGGGTTATTGATTGAGGGACGATTCGTGAGGAAAAATGCGAAGTCAAGAAGGACTGTGAAATGTGATTTGTTCAATATTGGAGTCAAATGCAGTTCACGTGTAAAAGCAAAAATGTTCGCATTTGGTAATACAAATCAAAATTGGGTTTCGCATATGAGGTTGTATGGATTGGGGTTAAAGATGCGAAGGTGATTATGGTTAATATTCATTTCGTATTTGGTGAGACAAACAACTCAAATGCGAATGAACTAAAAAAAAATGACTGGAACATGCGAAGAAAAAGGGTGAATGAAGAATGTGAATTTTACAGTAGAATGCGAATTGGGGAAGAAAATTTTCATTTTTAAAATCCACCGACAACTTGTAACGACGTAAATTTTCAAACAAAATTTTCATTTTTAAAATCACATACTTTTCATAACAGATTGTATAAAAATCTCATTTATTCAATTTACAAAACAAAACTCCATGTTTGATTAATTAATAATCCAGGATCCTCATGACATAACTCTTTCTCTAGTGTGTACAATCAAGCCAGTGTCGTCCCACGATCCTGAGAAACCTGAAACACATAACACATAACACAGTTGTTGAAGATTAATGTGTTGCGTCTTGGGCCCTTTTGTTTTACAACCGGATTGGGCTTGTCAATCCATGTTTATCTAGATTAGCCTCCTTTTTCTTAGATAAACTGTTAGGGTTTTAATATAAATATATGCATGCATGTATGCGTATAATGGGGTAGTCGTCATTCTCATTGATTATTGTAAACCCTAAAATCCTCTACAGTTGATGTTCTTTATCGAGCTCTTCTGAGGATTGTTTATTAATCATTCGACACTTTTTGATCCATTTGCTTGTTCTTATTGTTTATCTGATTATTTCTCTACCTGTTTCATAGATCTAATTGATCTTCAAGTTTATTATTAAACTTATCAATTGGTATCAGAGCAGGAGGCTGTGTAATCGATACACTTCTTTTCTGTGCAAAAGCTTTGATTAGGGTTATTCCGCATTCATTGATATTTATTGAGCCGTCATCTCATAATTGACGTATCTCGATATTTATTATTTTTGCCCTAATTTGATATATTACAAGTCTGATCTTTGAACAGGTTATTCGATCAATTATGGACGAGTCGCAATCCAATCCCATCAATATTTCAAACAGCATTGGATCAACAACGAAGATTCCCATCCTGTACACCCATGATTATGAAGTCTGGGCGAATCACTTTGAAGATTATGTCATAGGATCTGAGGATAATGGATACCTCATCTGGGAAGCAATCATCTCTGGACCTTTTTCTCATTCAACAACTTCAAGGATTATTAAAAATCAAAAGGAGTATAACGATCTTCTGAAAGATGTTAAAGATGTAGCGCAAGACGAAAAAGTTAAATTTCAGTGCAATATCAAAGCGTTAAGATTGATCAGATTTGCTCTTCAATCCGATACTTTTAGGCTGGTAAGTTCATGCACGACTGTAAAAGAGATATGGGACAGGCTACGTGAACTGTACTCTACAGACGAAGATCTTGAACACTCCATTCAAAACTTACTCTTGTCTGAGTTTGGTGAGTTCAAGCAAGGAACAGAAGAAACGGTAACTCAAACGTTCGATCACTTCAATCATCTTCTTAGCAAGATGATCAAACATGACATCGAAAGGAAGCTTATTAAACAGAAGGTTACGTTTTTGAACGGACTCAGATCTGAGTGGAGAGCAGTCGTGTCCATAGTTAAAGCGCACGAGCAATTCAAATCCTATTCTTTGGCAAAACTGGTGGGGATCCTAAAATCTCAAGAAAAGATCGTATTACAGGAGAAAAACGTGGTTTCAGGTCTTGGTTCATTGGCCCTCCTGTCGAAAAGCAAAGCGGTGATAGAGGACGAAGATCTCAACTTGGATGATTATGATCTCACGTCTGAGGACTATGCTATGATGGTGTCAAACCCCAAGAGATTCATCAAGAAGAGATTCCCCACTAACAGGAACCGAAACTGGCAAGGGAGTTATAGCTCTGAAAAGGTCAAAGATGAACCGAAGGCTGCAGAGTCAAAGAAGGAACCGAAGGCTGAAGGAGATTCTGGAGTGAGCTGCTTTTATTGTGGAGGAAAGAACCACTATGCAAAAGACTGCGTCCTCAAAAAGATGGCAGAAAAGGACGAGGAAAATGATGAAGAAGCTGTGTTGATGAAAAAGCTTGATGAATTAAGGATGAAGAAATCTGCTGCTAACCCTCCTATGAATGCTTTAATTATGCAGGGTTCGGTAGCTGATGATGAGTTCGGTAGCATGGAGGTCTGGTCAACCGACTCCGAAGATGATGAAGTGAGGAAGCCTTCACATGGAAAGGCTTATGTAGCGAAAGAAGGGAGCAGTGGAGGAAGATGCTTGATGGTGTCCGACGTATCTCAGATGAGGGGATACAACACTGATGGTGGGAATGATGACACAAACGAACAAAAGAATCTGTGCTTTACTGCCAAACCACTCAGCTGCAGTTCAACGAACTTGATGAACTGATCAAGAAGGTACAATCAGTTTTTGTCTCATTTAAAGTCCCACAATGCTCATATGAAAAGGAATTAAAAAGTGTTAATTCAAGAATCTCTCATCTAGATAGTAGTTTAACTCAAACTCGGGCCCACCAATTCTAACCTAACTGACCAATTAAGCAGGGTGTCTTCGAAGAGTGAGGAACGGCGGATGTGGATCGAACTGAAGGAGTCGGAGTTAATCAAAATAGAAGATGAAAACATTTATTTGCAAAGAGACAATTTAAAGCTTTTGAAACAGCGAAATGTTTTTTGTTTGATTGCCAAACGTCTTTATACAAATATTACTCAGCTTCATTTGAATTGTGATATAGGGCAAAAGATTCATCGCATGATTTTACCCTTTCTTGAGTTTAAGGAAGATGAAATTGATGCTGAAGCATATAATTATGAGAGTATTATTTCATCTGAGGATGTTAATCCAACATATATGTATGGACTGGACAAAATAGAATCTTTCATAAAATCCAAGGACCACAAGAACATGCTCAAAAACCTTTTGGATGAAAATGATAAAC